TCTATGTAATGCTTCCTGTTGGTCTGCCACACAAAATCCCAAATTCACTCAAAACCATTACGGAGGTCTAACAAAACTTAAAAAGTGTGACTCATCAGCTTTTGGTTTTGGGGTTTTCTTTAAATTACACAATATTTTTTTCATCCCATTCATAGTTTTTGTTCAGCTCATGATTCCAGAAATATGTTAATGTAATGCAGTGACTTTTTACTACAATAAAAATAGCTTTCACTGGTAAAACAGCTCTTCATCTCTTCTGATCATTTCAGTATTCTATAAAGAACTGGGACATTGGCATGCATTTAAAATGAGAGAGTGTATCGCACCTAGTCATGTGTGTTGGACTTCAAAGTAACCAGTATTTGAAATTTATGATACAAACAGAAATGTGAATGTTTTCCTAGAATACTATTAATAAAAAAATATATTAATCTTGCCCTTGGCGTCCTCTTGTTGAAAATAGTTCTACTCGGTATCAGTAATCAAACAGCTGCCCTGCAGATAATTTATTCTGCTTAACTTTTAGATTTTTTTGGATGAACAGCGTTTTTGTTCCTGTGTTGATCAAAAGCCCTCTGCTCCAGTTGAAAAACAGCCTGATGTACCTTGATAGAGTTCATGGAAAATAACTTCAAAAGAAAGAACAAATTTCATGTTTGAATTAAATAATATATAACTAATTTTGCAATTTTATCCAGCACTTGAGACTAATGCACACCAGGGTTTGGTAATATGAAAATATCAGAAAGGAGGGAAGTGTTGATAATCCACCAAATAAGAGAAATGACAATTTTCATGTTTGTTTTTGCTCATTAATTTTATTTTCTTTGCAAGCTACCATTTTCAACTTGAGACATAAGTATTGTTTGATTGTCAGTGAAATGCATTGTCTTGGTGGGAAGCAGAAGCTAGCAAAGATAAAGTGAGAATATTTCACTCAACATAAACTTCAAAGTCATAAATAAAGCTGTGGAAAAGACGAAAAGGTTCTGTCTGTGCATTAATATCTACTCTGAAATCTGATTGGCTGGCTCCAGAGATACAACTTCCTTCAAACCTTCACAATAAGAAAACAGAATTAATTTCGTGTGCCTTGTCTGCTTTGGCTGCAAATTGTAATTTGTCTAAGACAAATGAACAGAAGACAGTTACTTGTGGTTTTTTTTTTTTCTTACTTTGTTTATCCCCAATTGTAAAAACCCTAGAAAAAGTGCAAACTCACCGTGATTGGGGTTGTCACCAATAATATGGTGCCGCCCACTCCAGTACCAAAGCAGCAGGGTAGCATCCCGAGACCCAGAAACAATGTAGCAATCGCCTCCGATGTACGACTCTGATCTGGCCAGACATGTCACCACATCCCAGTGGCCAAAAATGATCTGGGTCAGCTTGCCTAAACAGATAAAAGAGCAAAGATGATTTCTATTGTTTTTTTTTTATTATTATTTGGTTTATATCTTCTAAGGGAAAAATGAATCAACTATAAACACCAAAGTCATGCTGCTCACGATTAAAAAAAACTGCATAATTTTTATGCAAATTATACTGGGATTGGGAGACATTCAGAGATGAAAACATCAAGGAGTCAGACAGAGCACTTTATTCTCAAACCATGTCATGAGGTCCCAGCTGAATTAAAAAAATAAAATTAATGAGCTACAGGGACAATACGTTGTTCTCATCGCAGTTAATAATTCGTTACGTAGGTGCATATCTATCAACTTTGGTGTCCAAGTGTGTCAGGAGACAGTTGCACCAATACTGTATCATTACTGTCATAGCATTCAGTCCTCCACACATCAGCGCGCAGCCCTGTAGGAAGCAGAGTTTACACTATAACCTACCTGTCTCAGAGGAGTACACACGGAAGCTCTTGTCCCAGAAGCCACACACCAGGATGTAGCGGTTGTCAGCTGTCACCACAAAACAGTGTGTGGTGATTTGGATGCTTTGGTCCACTAGGTCTGTGATCTGACGCTTGTTGCTGCCAGTATTGTTGGCTTAGAGGAAGACACAAAAAGAAAAACAGTACCATACCCGAGGTGTAGCTCCTTTTCTTTTTTTTTTTTTTTTTTCCTAAAATAGACATAAAGGACAAATATTTATGTCCTTTTCTAGTTTGAAGTTGTGTATTCTCCTTTGAGCTCACTCACCAACCAGAGAATCCATCTCTATAGGGAGATGATGGGCCTGTTCCAGAGAATAGCCTGGTGCTCCTCGGAGACCTGGATTCATGTAAGCATACGTTGCATACAGTTTTACAATTTCACGTTCATACACAGTCACACAGCCATTCACTCATATTTTTCCATGATATAACAATTCATTTATGTCTTACTAGACTTTTCAGTTCCACTGTCAAATGTCATTTCATTCATGTGAATAGGCGTCTTAAAAACCACTTTGATTCGGGGACATGTCTGAAATTACGGAAACCTTATTATCATTCTTATTTCAAAAAGTGAGACCACATTTCCTTCCTCTCCAGCAGGATGGTCAGGCCGCTGCAGCTGTGTTCATTAAGGGCAACCGCACACTGTGTACTCTTTGGTCTTGAGTGGTACGTACTTTCTGCAGTGACAGATGGAAACGTGTGAGGAGAATGTGGTGCAGTTGGGGCCTAATTTCCTAGTAACCATTGCTTTGACCCTTTGACCCCGAGGTGAGGCTTGTTCGTAGGGAGGGGCTCCGTGGGTAATGTTGTTCACACATGTCTGAGAAGAAACATGTGGAAACACTCATCATCAGCTTACCTGGAAGGTGCGAGTCGCTCTCATAGACAGCTTGCAACAAGTCTATTACGAGCAGTGGGAAGGTTTCTTGTGTGACTGTGATGAAGTGATTTTACAGGACCTCTGCTGTGTAGGTATCACATGTGGTGTGCCACATCCCCCCCTCCCCACCCACCAGCATATGTCTGTGTTTGAACTTCTAGCACCTCCTACGCGACATCGACTTCGCTCACCAACGGTGTTGTGCCATCGATTGACGGCAAATAAGCGGCTGCAGGTGACGGTGACCACGGCTGGTATGGTGAGATGGGGCAGGGTGTTGGCAGCCACATGCGTAACCGGCGAATTGGACGGAAACTTTAACACCATGATGACGTCCTGCTGCATCTGGTCCTTGAACATGAGAGGACTCTGCGGAAGGAAACACTATTGAGTAGAAGAGAGAAAAGACAAAAATATGGGGGGAGGGAAAAAAATGGAGGCGTCATGATGGTTGGGGACGATGAAGGTTGAGAGCAAGAAAGGAGGGCACAGAAAAGATGACGAGAAGAGGTATGGAATTATGTAAGAAAAGAATGCAAGAAGAATTAGTGTGGAAGAAAAAAAAAGACAAGGTTCAGACACAAAGGAGAACTTCATGCAACATCCCCATTTGGCAATTAGACAAAGGATTACAACAAGAGGAGGCAAAGAAAGCTGGAGACACAGGAGATGGTTGATACAGAAACATGCATCAGAAATGTTCAGCCTGTTTCACATAAAACAAAAAAAAATAAGAAAGAATTTGGATTAAGGTTTTGTAGCTGATTTTGTTTTGAATTGTTAAATAGTTAAACTTTTCTCATTTCTTCTGCAAACGTAGAATAAATTTACACCCTGTCAAAATAATATTTTGAGGGTGAACTATTTTTATTAAACATGGAAAGCAGATGAATTGAGCAGACTTAAATTAATAAAATAGTTTTATAATCATCTCTGCAGGCATTGGATGTTATTCAAAAGTAAAAGTAGCTACAAATGGCATTTCTTGTCATGTGACTATCACATAAGATATTGAGCCACAACCTTCAATATTTTTAATTCAACTTTTCATTGTTATGTAATTGAAAAGAGGACAGCACATGATACATGATTTTCAAAATTAAAAGACACTTTAAAATCAAAAATTTGTGGTCTGTCTATATGTTCAGCTTAGATGAGTAGCATCTGAACATAAATTTTAAGATATGACAAAGTTTTAAAACAAGTTTTAGGTAAGGATGCACCGACGTGAAAATTTGATATCTGAAATTAATATTGTTGTTATTCCCGATAACCAATATTTATTGATATTACATACATATCTTTGCCTGTCAACATCACGAAAAATGACGACTACACCGCTAACATTTTTTTCTCTGCTGAACATACGCAAATCCTAAAATATACACAAATGGCAGCAAGAAGGAAATAAACGTTGACATCGATCCAGTTTTACTTACTGTGCAATTGGTTTTGTTGGATTGTATTTAGGGGTATCGTAGTAAAAGGGGATGAGAAAACTTTTTGAGTCTTATTTGTAAATTACTTATAAAATCATCATGTATTTTCCTCCCTCTTCATGACAATGCTCTTACTAAGTGTTGGTGCATTAAAAAAAAAAACAATAAAATGCTGTTCACTACTATATGTGATTGTTAGGTGACAAAATGTGAAAAAGTTAAAGGGACTTTTGTTTGTTTGTAATTGGAAAAACGGGGCTTTTACACCAGTAGGGAGCAGTGTTCTCATTAAACTTCACTACTTTCAAAAATGACCAGTTAAGATACACCACAGAATACTGGTCCTAATAACTGCTAGTTAAACAGAGGCTCTGTGACAACACAAGATAAAAATTAAATATTTAACTGCTGTAAAAAAAAAAAAAAAGAATGCCAAGTTGGAAATCATCTTTCACAAACTTATTACCGCTTGTAAACACAGAGCAAAATATCGAAGGTCTACCTAGCATCCCTGAAGCCCCCCCACACACACACACACACACACACACACACACACACACACACACATCCAGAGGTGCAGTGAAGGTTCCCAGCATGCTCACTGTTCTCACCAGGTGCATGGCGGAGCTGCGTGGAGGATGTGGCTCAATAAGCAACTGAGATGGCGTCTGTCCAAAGCTCTGGATCTGCGCCTCTGTGGCCTGCGGGAGAGAGCGAGAGAGTGAGAGAGTGGCTGTCACAATCAATATGCATCAAAGTGATGGGTCAATGCGTTACTTGACAATGCAAGCAAATCCTAACTCAGCCGTGCCTCTGAGGAAGGGGGGAGGTAAAGGGAAAGGGGTGCACTCCCAATCCGCCTGGGTGCTCCCCCTTCCCCCTCTGCCTGCAGAGTCATCCAAGTGTTAGTGTGGAAGAGACAAGCCTTTTCCTATTAACATGCTTCAGTTAACCATTCCCCATTTCCAGGAGCAGGGGCCCCAACTGCACAAACGTTAACCTGGAGTGACATCCAGATAGAACTGCAGCAGGCCAGCGTGCTTTTAGATGTTATTGTACTTGAAACAAAGCACAAAAGCATGTGTGTATAGTCATACTCACACACACACACACACACACATACCACACAGACAAAAACACAAGATAGCCTTTGTGAGTTAGGTAAAGGTACTACCTCAATGAAGGATGATTTATGGAGGAGAAACTATGAGAATAACAAGGAGAATATACAACTGAAGTCAGAAAACGAACAGTGAAAAAAAAGAACACCACCACAAAAATCTGAGCTCTTCTATTTTTAGAAAACAAACTTTGGAAAAAACAAAAAAGACAAAAGAGCTTCTCTGCTTGCAACAAGACAAAAAAACTACACTAAACAGAAGCAGTAAGAGCTGCTGAGCTTGACTGAAAGCGTGGCACTCTAAGGTGGAGGTGATTGATGTGACTGAAGCCTTTTCCACCATCAGAAGAGCTTGTAGATGTCCATCAATGCCATTGTGCACAATGAAACATACAGCCTTTCGTCTGAACCTCCCGACTGCCTGTGTGACTGGCCCTCATTTCCCTGCCCCTGTACACACCACTCACTATCAAAAAGGACCCATTGGGTAGCAAATGCCACAGTCAGAGATGTGGCGCAGGGCTTTTGGAGGTGATGCCGAATTAGGACAGGCCACCTGCGAAGCACACAGTCGCCCCCAACACCGCCCGGTCACTTCAGATCTTTCACGGCTCCAAAAAAGGCAATGTCCACACTGGCGAGCGCTGTGATGCAGCAGTGAAAGTTTCATGTGAGCTGGTTTGCACATTTGGGAACCATTAGACGTTAGCGTGTTTTTTACAACAAAGTCTGCCAAGTAACTGAGGCAACTGACATTATGGGTATTTAAGGTTAGGTTCAGGGTCAAGGTGTCTGTTCAAATAAAGAAACTCGATCCATACACCATAAAGTCTGAGATAGCTGTCATGTGGAAAACATCAAATTACTCATAATGATGAAAACTGGGCTGCTGAACGATGATAGTCTTGAAGCATATTATTTTTCAAAGGAATCTCTGGCTAGTTTTCTTTACATTTGAGTTCTTTTGTGAGGATTTACCTTGTTGAAGGTTAAATCATCGATATGTTATTTCACAAGCTGATCAAAACGCATCAATATTTCTCAGCCACTTGGACACTGATCCCCAGAGATGGATGACAAAAACATGTCTGTATTCCACTCTGAGGTAGCACAATGAAACAGGCATGTCATTAGTTTGTGTCTTTAAAGGCTTTGCTCTTTGGCTGAGAAGTGGCTCACTGCAACCATTTAGATTATTTTCCCTCCAAGCAAAAGCTGCCTTGCTTGGGTGAGCAGCACATAGCATTCCTCATAACATTATGTTCTCCTGTCTAAAGGTGTTTTCATGTCCGATAGTCCGGTAGCTTCAGTTCAATTGGAGACCAGAATTGCAACATTTGTTACACTTTCAGATGGTGAAGTTCACTTCCACACTGCGCTGCGTCAAACAAACCAAACCCTTTAAAAAACCTCTGATAATCATAGTCTACAGCTAATTCCAAACTCGAAAGCCAGTGTTTTGTTTCTAACATGATGCGAATTGTACATAAGACCAATAAAATAAATGTTTTTTTTTTTTTTTTTTTGAGAAATGTTATGTAATGGGTTAAGGTTAACTATAAAAGGAGCTTGACTAACAAACTGGCTGTGTTCACAGATTCTGATTGCTTGTTTAGTGAAACAGAAAAAAGGTGCAGAAGCAACCAAGAAAATCCCACTGCTATTTTTAAACAAGATGTAACATCTACCCACAATAACAGCAGAACCACTGTGTGGTTTATGGACCGTGGTATTGCTGTCCGTATTGGTCAACAAACTCGCCTGACCTAAACCTCATTGAGGGACTCAGTAATGTGTTAAGCTACATTTTTGACTTGAATTACTGAGATAAATCAACTTTTTTCAATGACCTTTTATTTTATCGAGACTGACCTGCAGATGTCGGATGATCTACTAGTATCACTCTCCAGAGCACACATGCAGCAACACAAAAGCAAACATTCCCTTGTGATGACTAAAGCAGAAAGGTGAGATCCTTTTGAATCACTGAAGACCAGAAATGGCAGCTACAAATTTGTAGCAAGCTTTTTGACCTTTTGACAGAGGTCAAAGGCAACACAGCAAATTATTTCCAATAATTTGGCTTTTAGGGAACAAAAACGTTTTATACAAGAAAAAAATAACTTACCAGAGAAACCACATAAAGGAATGCACAGCAGCAGTGTTAGTTTCCCATGTAATGACACGCTTTACATGTCGACAGAAATCAGCTTCAGACGATCTTGTCACAAATGTAATCCTGAAGTAAAACAATGAGTCGCCCTGAAGCTTTTTTTCTCAAGTGATTACTTGGGAATGGACATCTATATGACTTTAAGTGAGAGCAAATATGTCTCAGACAATTTGTCCACGGGTAAGTGCCTGTGTCTAATCCTGCTTTCATCACATATAATGGGAATTAAAATCTTTATGATATGCGATAGAGACAATAATGGAAACCATTTGAAGGTTTGTATTTCATCAACATCAGAATATCAAGGTGAAATCAATTTAAAGAATGTCAACAAGCTCAAAGGCTGTCAGAGGCTTGCAGCAGCACACTTTGGCGTCTTTGTTGATGCAGAGGTGGCAGGAGGGGCAGTGGCAGGAGGAGCAATAGAGTTCCACTGATGAATAATTTGTCTGTTTACTTGTGAGTGACACAGTGGGGTCTGAATCAAGGGGTTGCTGTCATGTTTTTCCATAAGAAAAGGGTGTCAGGAGAGGCATCACAGCGAAGGATTGCTGTTCCGGCAGCATGCCCAGAAGGGCTGTCACTGTTCCTCAACCACAGACCAGAGGCCTGGCAGCATGTCAGCAAGTGTCATCATTTTCATCTGACACGCACAAGGAAATTATCTCTCGTGACCTCTAATTTCTTGACGTTTCAAATGCCTTAATTGTTGTGACTAATGCCAGGTCGGCAGTTTCACCTGTCAGGCCCTGGATGAATCAATACCAGGAGTCAATCATCACATATCAACAAATCTTAGTGAGACAAACACTCGACACACTTCCACCTCCACCTCAATGACTCATCCAAGCAGGTAACACAATGACCTGGGAGGGGGGTGGGGGGGGAGTAGTAGAAGTAATTAGTAAACCCTGACTGAAATGAATAGAAAATACATGCATAAATTGAGCAATATTAATATCCTATAGTTCCTTAAAATTATTCTACTTTAGTTGTACTATATCCTCTGTCTCTGCGGGATTCAAATTAAAGTGAAATCAGATGTTTTTAGAATGCAAAATAAAATCAACTTGTAAATGTCAAACACAACATATTGAAAATTATTTTTAAAAACATAAATTCTGTCACAAATGAGTTTCAGAAATGGGTTAGAATGTCTCATTCAACATTAGATTCTGTTAATAATGGCCGCACTTTAATGCACACATACTGTTAAGACAGCAGGAATGTTTACAAAATTGTATTTTGGATTGTATACAGCAAATGTATAAGCTCTCTGAGGTAATAAATATTGTGTGTTTCAATAAACCGACATTTAAACACTACATTAGATTCACAAATGAACTGGGTCCGTACAAAAACTTACTGCAAACTCAAACTAACATATAATATAGAATATAGAAATAGAGCAATATTTCTGGGAAAAAAAATGTATTAGTGTATATAAATCTTCGTTGTTCCCATCAAAACGTATTTTTGATACGCATGTTTTTGTGTCATTTTATTTTGTTGTCAATATTACAACTCAAGGCCACCTAACTAACTAATTAACAATATTTTTTTTTTCTTTTCTTTTAAATAATTGTTTTTCTATATAATATCTGACATAGGTTTTTAATTTCAAGGACAAATAAAAGTAAAAATAAAAATGATGACATAAAATATGAAATATAATGAATTACAAAAGCTGCTGGACAGTTTGTCTTAATTAGTGCTCATCATATTAAAAAAAAAAAAAAAACATAATTTAGACGATCCAGTTTCTGGCACAATTAAATTCAGATCTCACACTTTCAGCTATTTGAGCATAATTAGGGACTCTAAATATCTGACTTCCTAATGTGAGACTAACTAAGAGTACTGTCACCCCTCAAAGTAACAACTGTGACAGCAGAAGACAGCTAAAAACCTTCCAGTCTGAAGGAAAATAAACAAGGCATCGTCAAAACTATTTCCTGAAATAACACAAACCAAACCTTTCACGATATGGTTTGGTAATTAGATGAGCCAAATCTTCTGCAGGTGATTTGCATAGTGGTCACTTGATAAATAAAGGCGCCCCTGAAAGTGACAGTATATAAATGAGTTGTTTTGCAGACAGCAGATGGTGAATATCACAGGGAGAGGAGAGCTCACACTGGAAAGTGCCACAATGCATGCCAGCTGCTGCAGTCTTTGGTCCCCTTTCCCTTTGCAATTATGCAAACGGAACAATCCACCTAATAGTCACTGAGTTAATTTGTTAAAATAAGAGGGTTATGTCATGTATCTATTCATTGAGTGACTGCTTGTGACTGATCAGAGAGCTCAGACAAATATTTTGACCTGATTAGGAAAAGCGACGTTCGGCACATTCCAAAATAGACCGTTGAAATATGACGTTAACAAGGTCAAAAATGTACTTGAAATGATATTCAAAGAAAACGACTTCACGGAACAGCAGAGTTAAAATCTCATGTCAACAAAAATGACTTCAATCTTGTAGTAAACATGCAGAATCAGCAACCCTGACAGATTATCCTACGGGTTAGACTTGCATCACATATTAATTGACTGACAGATGCAACGGTATGAACGCTCCAGGAACTGCAAGGCATGTCTGGACAAATACACACAGGAAGTTGCATGCATGGTGAGTAAGAGAGTAGGTGGCTTCATCACCGTGAGAATACGTATGTGTGTGTGTGTGTGTTTGTCTCCGCGAGCGTTACCTCTCTGAGCAAAGGGTCAGCAATACTGTCCAAGCTGACGGAGCCCTCATAAGTCAGGTGGTGAAATACGTTGAGGGCACGCACTGCTTCTGGCCCTCGCTGCTTGTAGCCGAAAATAAGGTCAATCCACTGATGCAGCTGACATGACACAAACTCGCTTTCCAGGGCCTGTCAGAGGAGCACAGGGCAATTAGAGGTGAGAGGCACCCCAGGAACACAAAGCACTGGAGCCAAAAGTCACAAGGCAAATTCAACTTAAAACACAAACAGAGTGGAGATAATTCCTGAAATAATGGTCTGAGAACTTCTTTTTTTTTGCCAAAAGTCATGTTTTTGGGCAAATTTATCTTGTTGCAACATCCCCGCCCCCAAAAATGTTTTTTTTTCTTGTTTTCTTTGCCAAAATCATTTTCTGTGACTTAGTAAGGTGACAATTTGATACTGCACAATGATGACCAAGCAGAACATTAAATCCTAGTCACAGACATTTCAAACAGTGCTATGAAGCAAAAAGGTTGGGTGAAAACGTAATGCAGCCAGTCTGATGGGGCAGACATTTGTTATGTTACATTCACACCACTTAAGCCTTCTCCTATGTCTTTTAAATTTCAATGTAGTTTATGGATATCATATGCTATAGCCCAACAAAAAAATAGCACAAAATTCTGATGTAAAAATTAGTATTTTTTAAATGTAAAATTCTGAAGAACGTGGATGCTATTAGAGATAGCATCCTTCACTTCATCCTGAATGTACCAAACCTACAGTCTAAACACGGCGTTGGCAGCGTCATGCTTTTGGTTTGCTTATTTTCAGCAGGGCAGGGAGTTTAGAAGAGCTTTACTTGTAAGAATGTCAACAGCCCTAAACATATGACCATAGTTCAAACAGAATGGTTAAAAGTGCTAAAGGATAACTTCAATGTCCACGCCTAAGTCAACTGAGAATCTGTGGCAAGATTTGAAAACGTTTGCTCTCAGTTGCTCTCTATCCAGTCTAAGTGAATTTGTGCTAATTGGAGAAGAAAACTGGCCTTCAAGCTGCTGTTCTGTGTGTGCTAACTTGGAGCAAACACATCCAAAAAGGCACACACCTGGAAATGCAGCAGAAGGTGCTTGCATCAAGTATCCCCTCAGGAATGCAAGTTTCATTGTAAAACAAAAAAAAATAGAAAACTACATGAACTTTTCCTTTCATTCACATTTGAAGGTTTATTTATTTTTTTTTTAAAATCCAATAAGTTAAAGGAGAATTAAGAATTTTACAAGGAGCTGTAACCAGCAAAATGCATCATATTCACAAACCTACTCACAACATGCAGAATTATATATATATATATATATATATATATATATATATATATATATATATATATATATATATATATATATATATATATATATATATATACACATATATATATGCTCACAGTCCTGCTTTTTACTCATACAGTGCATACTCTGTATAAGGAAATGAGCCAGTGGGATGAAATACGTCATCTTAGGTGCCTCACTGACTTAGTGAGATTTAGCAACCATGGCCAAAACAAACTGGCACCAAGAGGACGAAGGAAAACAAAGAAAGGAATCATTTGGGAAAGCACCGTTTGAGCTAACTTTACACAGCATCCTCAATCTTAACAGAAAAGGAGCAGAATAGCAAATTATGAAAATGAAAACTGTGACAAGCCTCTTAAAGCATCTTTATGGAAATACCAAAAAGAAATGGAGAAATCTTTTGCTCCTGTTGCTGCTTTCAGTCCTTCAGTTTTGCAACTCTACAGTAAGGGGGATAATCACTGTGAACTCAAAAAAGGCTTTGTGGAAGAGTAAGACTAAGGATCAATAATTAACTTAGTTGAGAGAAGCTATCATATCTCTTTTCAGGAGTTATTTTTTCTTATTGTTCCGGCTCATCGTTGTGATCTAAATAGACTGTGGAGCTGCTGCTCAGACAAAGCAACAAGGGTAGAAGTGTGTTTTTTCATTCATCTGTACAAAACAAAAAATACAGAAAGAAACAGAATTTGAAGAAATTCAACTTCTTCGGAATGATTTCGCAAAAGACATGAATATATTATTGTCTCTGAGAAATAGACAGTAACAAAACAATTTAAAGCACATTTTCTAGAGGGAAATGTTATGGATTTAACTTTCAGTTCAGAGTCCAACTGTACCATTAGGCCACAGAAAAATAACTGTCGTTTTAATATAGGTTAAATGGAGACGTTTGACTTAATTTAACGATCTAACAAAGGACAAACTTCCCTTATCTCTACACTTACCACAGTCTCTTTGTGGAGACAAAGAAATGCCCTTATTAATACCAAGATCAAACACACTTTAAAACTAACTGCAGATTAATAAAAAAAAGGGAAGAATAATTGCTTTAGTGGAAAAACAAGCTAGATTTCTAGGACTGGAGAGAGACGCTGGATATAATTTTATGAAAGCTCATTACAAATCTACAGCACCTATAGAAAACATGCAATGGGGGTCGGAGCATTGTTCCACAGCGTCCTACAACATAATTCCCATGCAGGCAGAGGTGAAGCTTTGCAAGAGAAATTTACACTCCTCCCCTCACGTCAGGAATAACAGCCATTACCAACAAAGCCTGCTCAAGCTCACAGAGGCAGAGTTTGCCACAGGGCATATCACGACAATTGAAAGTGGCACATGCAAAGATGGGAAGTGGGAGGAGGAGGAGGAAGGGAGGGAGAAAAAAGAAACAGAGAAAGGAGGGAAGAAAAAAAAGGGATGGCGATAAAGGGATGCAAGTCCAGAAGATTCACCGACAGAAGAGGAAATAAAAGAGGAAGTAAACGTGGGCTAGATGGGGGGGGGGGGGAGAAAAAAAAAAGAAAAAAAAAAAAAAATGGCCATACGTTTTT